AATGTCTAACGCTAACGCTAAATGTAATAATGCATTGACCTTTGAGACGATAGAAAGTAACATGTGCGTACGTCTAACGATAGCATTATTATTTTCCCACCCAATTTATTTAAATGATGCATATCGATATTTAGCCGAAGAAATCTGCATAAATTTATCTCAAAGGAATTGGTACATGTAAGTCATTACGTATGTATGCATGTACTTATTATTTGAATGCGTCAATCAAGTTACAAAGCTAGGCCACATTCATATATAAGTGGCCTGCGTTGCCTACAAACTTTTTAAAAAGACCAAAAATTCTATTTCTTAACATAGCGATAGTGCCATGCATAATTCGAAAATTTCTCTTATCATTTTATTTATCTTTATAGTCTCAGCTACGATCGCTGCTGACGTTCAGGTTAGCGTTGGCACTGACAATGTGGAGAACGTCGTCTTTGAGCCTGCCGACGTTCAGGCTGCAATCGGTGACAATATCATCTTTACCTGTCGTACCAACGGTTAAAAAACAAACAATTACTTAAATTTTTATCATGAAGCTTTTATTTATCTAAAAAAAGAAATTATTTTTTAGCTGTCTTTAAGTGAAATCAATTTAGAAAAAGTCTAATTTCAAATCTTAATCTCTATAATGTAAAGCGCCATGTAACATTAATATTAATAATTCCAAATTTAATGTTTAGTTTGATTTATTGAAATTAATGTAAGGAAATCACAGATGTTAGGTAATATAGTTTTAATAATGACCAAAATCCCTCTCCCTAGGTAAGATTTCTTGATTTGGTAAGAATAAAATATAGAACTTACACATTAAATTTGCTATTTTTGGATATATATTTTTGAGACTTGAGACCTTCTGATCCTCTTCCCTTCTACAAAATGAGGGGTAGCTAAAGCCTGGTGGACATGTGATACGTGTTTATCGCAGTGTTAAAGGTTAATTTTTAGCGTTAGGGTTAGGATTAGGATGGAGGGCTCTAGTATATGTAAATTTGCCTCCCCGGCGTTTTAATTAGTGCTCCAAGATAAATTAAAGCATATTTTTCATTTTTTACGTTCGTGCTTCAGATTGTTTTATCGGGTTGATTAAAAATTCACGCATTGTTTTTCGGATAGATCACAGGACCGACCAGGCGAACTCCAAAAATAACATAACGCTAATCTTGTTTACAGGATGCATCTATGTACACCCCACCCGATTTGGTAAAAGGATGGTTTAAGATTAGGGTTAGGGTTACGGTTAGGGATGGTGATCCAGGTTATATATAAAATTGTCTTCTCGACATTTTTCATTATTGCTCCGGACCAGATTTAGATATTTGTTTCTTGTATTTTTCACATTTCTCGCATTTTTCATTTTTTCGTGTCAGTTTGTTTTGTCGGGTTGATCAAAAATTTATGCACACTTATTGGCTGTTTTTTATCATAACCAATTCGGGTGGGGGGGGGGGGTACATAGATGCACGCCTTGTTTAAAACTCCCCAGCGTAACCAACTAAAAAAAATTCGAAACGTGACTTAATGTGGCTTATGTATCACAAACACTTGATATATGTTTATGATTACAAACACATGAGCAAAAGTTACGTTTTTGATGGATCTGCTGTTACTTTTTTGATAGATCTGCAAGTACAGTCGGACCTCCCTAAGCGCAACTCGTCGGGACCATACAAAAACTTGCATTTGGAGAGATATTGCATTTATGGAGGTAAAAATACATATATATCTTATAAATTGGCGCCGAATTAGAACGTGCATTTAGAGAATAATTGCACTTAGCGCGTTGCATTTAGGGAGTAGCGGATCCGGACAATTCTAGCGTTATACAGTGCAGGACTCATAGAAGAACATTCATGTGATTGGCTAATTTATGTCGATCCAAGCATGATTATTGACCAATCAAATCAATCAAAGAAATTAGCGA